AGGGGCAATTTCTGCCTCTAAAATGTGAGGAAGTCATATCTCAGAGACTTGCTGGCCAATCTGTTCAGCCAGTAGCTTTCTAGTTCTAGCCAATGCCACTGGAAGAAATTGCTATTGGTTAGGCTATGAGCAGTCCCCAGAATCTTTAGTGCCAGTAGCCACAGGAACAGGTAGGTGTGAGGGTTTAGTGACGGAAACATGTGGAGAAGTTTGGGGATGTTGGGAAGATGTATAGAGATATTTGGGGTCTTGAGAGAGAGAGGCCAGGAGGGAAAAGAGCACTGGGATGTCTGGAGGTGGAGGTGGAGGGGAGGGAATCTCATTAGGGGCGAGATGACTGATCTGGAAAGGGGATTTCACCCGCATCCTGTACAATTGCAGGCAGGTCAGGAATAGGAGAGAGGGTGATGGTTATTATATGTGCTCCCCCACCTACAAGCAACGATAAAATCCTGCTCTGTCCCTTCGTATTTAACACGATTTTTAGAAAGATCTATAGCTTTAAATACTAAAAGCATACACATTACTAATTTACACATTTGCATTAATTACATTATTTACTGTTTATAACGCATTATATACAGAATAAAATTCTAACATGTTGAGCTCAAAGTAAATTAAGCCACGTTATAGGCAGAGGAAAAAAACGTACTTACATCATTTTCTAAGGGAAATTTAGCATATTTAAGGAAATGTAGCACTTTTCCCAATGACATAGGCATTGCATTTTGATTCTTGGTGCAATGTTGGAAGGAAAATTCAAGTAACTTGCAGCGCAGGAGTTGACTCTCCATACTTCTTAATACTTTTAATCTTTAAAGTTGTAGGGAAAAATTGAAATACGTTTTAGTAACCAACATGTTCAGGCTACAGGGAACAACAGTGTGCGTAATTTCGAAGCATAACTTAATCTCGGAAATTCTTATCTCACCTCTGTGATCTTTTTGAAATACACAGAAAGTCTTGAAGCATTGCTTCTGCAATTTTATTTGAGCTGCACATTGGGGACCGGTCCACTTCTACAGCTAAGGTCAGCATCTTCTGAAGGAGACAAATAACTCTATAGAGCAAAGCAGAACAAGTGAGAAGTATCCATTAGATTTTATACAATACACAGGGACTGTGACACAACTGAAACGCTTTCCTTAGCATCTCTTAATGATGACATTACAAAAGCTACAAATACTGAAATAACACAAATTGCTGAACTCCTCAGTGCACCACTACAGAAGAGGGTGTGCCTTGAGAGGTTTTGAATGCATACTTGATTAATGATAAATATTTATTTTAAACTCAAACAATGTTCCGGTAGCAAATGGATCCTACACAGTTAAATGTAAGGTCAACATCAAATGAATGGGGATCAGAAAATGACTCAAACAATATGCCTACTTTTCAGTTAGGATATCACTGGATCTTAAAAATGCATATTCAGTGTGCAAGTGACAAGGTCTTGTTCATTTAAATCATGGGAATAACACTGAAAGCACATTAGCCAGGTATTACAGACCAATCTTGATTTTTCCACGCGTTATCCAAACTACGCATTGAAGTGGGCTAGAATATTATGAATGGTTGGAAAATGAAAATGAATAGAATATTCTGAATAGATTTTGAAATGCTACTCACTGCTTTCTTGGACCTAACAGATAAAATTGAACAATTGTTCCAAGTTATAGTCACTGTCAAATTGACATCACAGAACATTAGTTTATTTCTCAATTTATGGTTTCTTAATACAGATAAAATAAAAAATGAATTGCTACGCTTTATTCTAATCCAACATAGCTGGTGAATAAAACAGTACATTACACACATGTACACACGTGGAGCTATGTGCTCAGCTGTGTGAATGTCACAAATATATGCTCTACATCTGTAGCCAAAAAAACAAATGCGCCGTTGTTTTAGGGAATTTACCTTGAAATCCTAGAATCCACTACCTGAGGATTATCAGACGATGACGTGGGTCCATTTTTCTGCTGTACATCTTCAGAGTCCTTGGAGATGATATCAATAAGCCACTTGATGACACTTCTGCAATAGAAATTAATATTATAAATAGAACTAGAAAATAGCAATAAAAAATAGAAAACAGGTGCAACATTAGGCCATAAAGCCCCTCTAACCTGCTGCATCATTCCGTAGGATGATGGTAGAACTTTTACATCATCTCTACTTTCCCACCTCAATCTCTGTAACCGTTGCTTCCCTTAGTGCCTATGCACTTATCAATATCGACCTTGAAAATAATCAATGAGGGAACATTCAATGCTTTCAAAGGTTGGTAATTCCAAAGAAACAAAATGTTCTGATTCTTTCATAATTTCAGTCCTATGTGACAGAGGCCGGAGTGGTGTTGACAGGGTGGTGGCTGCAGTGTTGACAGCGTGAATGGGGACGCCTGGCAGCGCTAGGCCCAGAGCCTCCACTCTTGGTGGTAGTAGGCCCAGAGTCTGGACTCCTGGCAGCAGCAGTGCCCAGAGCGAGGGCTCTTGGTGGCAGTGGGCCAGGAGCCTGCACTCTTGCCAGTGGTAGACCCGGAGCAGGGACTCCTGGCTGCGGTAGGCCCGGAGCCTGGGCTCTTGCCGATGGTGGCAAGGCAGTGGCAATGGCAGCAGAGCCGGGGTCTCCTGGTGCATCAGCATTGTCGTTGCTGTTCCCGGAGCAGGTCTCCTTGAGGCCCACCTTGCAGAAGTCATGAAGCTGTGCATGAAACCCCAATTTGAACAGAAGTTGAACTTTTATTCAAGTAATTTCTTTTTATTCTTCCTGTAATTCAAATGCGTAGGATTGTGGCATCAAGACACTTTTTACTATATCTTCAAGATATGTGACAATAAGTCATTTGCTCATTCATTAATTCAAGCCAAATCCTAAGACTTTACATCCACATTCAAAACTCCTCAGCCAGCCAGGGGAAGCAGATTCTCTCAAGTCCTACCAACACAAGCTCTCTAAAAACATTATACGTTTCATTGGCATCTCTTCTCATTGCACACAGACATGCTGAGGACAGACTACTTTGAAATACAAGTGTTAACCTGGGAAATTAGTGCAGATGGGATTTCTTTTCCAGATCCAGAAACTTGCAGGTTTGAAACCCATTAAAGAGTTATGCAGGTTGGTGATTAGTTGGTGGGTTTTAAGATTTCATCTCTCCAAACAGCAGCAGTAGCTTAAATCAGTACTTGACAGATATGAGTGTGGCATTAAATTTTTAGCCCAACTAGGTAAGCTACTTAATATAACTACAGGTAAGAACTGAGTATTGGTTCTAAACTTGAAACCTACTTAGTTAAATTGAATACAATGTAGATGGAAGGGGAGGTTCAAGGTCTCTTGTGGTGTGGTAGTAGTGTCCCCACCTCTGAGCCAGGAGGCCCAAGTTCAAGTCTCATCTGCACCAGAGATGTTGGTAGGGGAGGTTATATGTTGCAGCTGGAGCATGTATTTCCATGGACATCAGACATTGATGAGGTGGACTCTGAGATTCAGACACTGTGATGCATCGAGAGGGGAAAGTTATCTGGTCACTTTTCATCAAGGGGTTGTCACATCCCTTAGGCTAGGCAAAGAATCAGGGAGGTAGCAATGAGAAGCCTTGACCCTGGCAACAAACCTGAGCTCCGAATTTCGGACCTTCAGTGGAGACTGCAGTGACTGTGGCACATCCATAAGGTTGCATATCACTTGGATAGCACGGTCAGAGAGTTGGACACACAGCACGTTAGGGATATGTAGGCAATAACAGGAACGGGTGACTGGCAGAAAGACCAACCAAAAAAAACCAGGCAGGTCATGCAGGAGTCACAATGGAGTAGGACTTTTTGACTTTCCATTTAGATATTGGTAAGGCCATTCATTCCTCAGAAGAGTGCAGTCAGAACCAGGTTTGTGGCACCATGGGAAGGCTTAGCTGTACAGGAGGGGAGGAAATAGAAAGAAAGAGTGATAGTGGAGGGGTTTTGTTAGTGAGGGAAACAGCCACGCATTTCTGGGACTGTAGACATGACTCCAGGATAGTATGTTCCCTTCCAGCTTTTGGGTCAAGGATGTCACAGGTCAGCTGCAGGGCATTTTTCTGAGGGAGCATGAACAGCCAGATATGGTGGTCCACGGTGTTATCAATACTTAAGCCGGAAGGAAGATGTAGCTCTGCAGTCAAAGTTTAGGGAACTAGGTTGAAAATTAGCAAGCAGAACTTCAAAAGTAATTATCCAGTACCATGTGCAACTGAGCACAGAAATAGGAGGATAAGGCAGATAGAGATGTAGCTGGAAAGATGGTGCAGTGGTGCAGGAGGTGAGGCTTTAAATTTCTGGGATCTTTGGACCTGCTCTGGGGAAGGTGGCATCTGTACAAGCAGACAGCTTTCACATGAACAGAGCCAGGACTGAGTTCTTTGCAGGAAATTTTGCTCGTGCTGTGAGGTGGCAACGGCTTTAAATTAATTTGGCAGTGGGGCAGGAACCAAGACAGGATGTTAGGGAGGAATATCAGGTTGCACAAAATACTGGGGGAACAGATTGCACCTTAATAGAGAAAACCAAGTTAATAGGCAAAGTTGTACTAATGAAAAAAGTAATGAAGTCTGAATCAGGGATATTGAAGAAAGGGAGAATGGAAATTGGGGAGACACTGGCCATAATCTTTCAGTCGTTTCTAGACTTAGAAGTGGTGTCAGAGGGCTGAAAAGTTGTAAACATCCTGCCCTTGTTTAAAACGTTGGAGAGATAGCTCCTGAGATTACACACCAGTCAATTTATTTTTGGTGGTGGGTCAGTTTCTAGAAATAATTATTAGGGTTAGAATTAACAGTCACATGGAAAAATGTGGGTGGTTAGGAAGAGTGAACTTGAGCTTCTTATCTGAAAATCATGTTTAACTAACTTGGAGTTTTTTAAACGATGTAAGAAAGGCTTGATGAAGGTAATGTCAGGTAAATGGACTTCCAAAGGCAATTCAGTGCTACAAAAATACTTGACGGCAATGCTCTAGCTCATGAAAGGAGAGGGACAGTAACAACTTGGACTGAGTAGTTAAAAATTGGCAGAGTAGTAGAAAATATAAAGTAATCATTAATGGATATTCTTCAGGCAGGAAGGTTTTAGTGGAGTTCACCAGGGGTCAGTATTAGGCTCTTTGCTTTTTTTGATGTATATTCATAACCTAGGTCTTGGTGTGCAGGGACAATGAAGAAGTTTGAGGATACTATGAAACTTGAAAACACTGTAAGCCATGAAAAATACAGTGTAGACTTAAAAGGGACATAGACACACCAGTGGGCGGATAGGTGGGAGATGAAGTTCAATGAAAAGAAGTGTGAGGGGATTAATTTTGGTAGGAAGGACAGAGAGACAACATAATATAAAGGATACAATTCTAAAGAGGTGCAGGAGCAGACAGAAAGAGCAGTTCATGAAGTATAGAGTGTCCTGGGCTTTATTATTAGGGGCACAGAGTACAAAGCAAGGAAGTTATGTTGAACTTGTGTAAATCATGAGTTAGCTGGAGTATTATGTAGAGTATTGGGCACCATACTTTGAGAAGAATGTGAACACTTTGGAGAAAGTGCAAATGCGGTTTACAAGAATGGCTATAGGAATGAGAATCTTCAGTTATGAAGCGAACTGCAGAGGTTGGGACTTTTCTCTTTGGAAAGGAGACATCTAAGAAGAGATTTGACAGAGATTCCCAAAATCATGAAGAAGCTGGACAAAGTAGACAGGTTGAAACTGTTCCCACTTATTAGAAGTATTGAGAATGAGAAGACTGATTTACAAAGTAAGCAAATGCAATACTAGGAGAAAATTTACATAGCAGGTAGTTTGAATCATGAATGCATTGCCTGGAAGTGTGTTGTAAGCAGTTTAAAATGCTATATTCAAGAGGACATTCAATGATTGTACAAATAGAAGCAATGAGCTAGAATACAGGGAAAAGACAGGAGATTGACACTATGTCATGGTGCTCATTTGGAGAACAATGTGGACATGATGAGCTGAATGGTCTCTTTCTGTATTGTAACAATTTTATGATTCTGAGAATCTCTCACTCAACACACCCAATTATTTGTCTTTTCCAACTTCTTCTTTATCACTTCCAGGGAGGGGAAAATCGTGCCCTTCTGTGTTCTGTCCTTTAATCAACACTCAATCCATACTGTCACATCCAAGTCTACGAGCCCTAATCATGTGTAACAACATGTGTGGCACCAAATTGAAAGTTTTCTGAGAATACAAATATATTATATCTAATAGTTCCCCTATATCTACCCCATTAGTTACATGCTGAAAATATTCTAATAGATCTGTCAAATACAATTCCTTTTCATAATAGCTGTATTGACTGGGTGGCACAGTGGCTCAGTGATTAGCACTGCTGCCTCACAGCGCCAGGGAACTGGATTCGATTCCATCCCTTGGGTGACTGTCTGTGTGGAGTTTGCACATTCTCCCTGTGTCTGTGTGGGTTTCTGCCAGGTGCTCTGGTTTCCTCCCATAGTCCAATGATGTGCAGGTTAGGTGGATTGGCCATGCTAAATTGCCCATAGTATTCAGGGATGTGTAGATTAGGTGGGTTACTGGGAAAAGGTGTGGGGGATGGGTTTGGGTGGGATGCTCTTCAGAGGGTCGGTGTGGACTTGTTGGGGCCTGTTTCCACACTGTAGGATTCTATTATAATTGTACTATGATTTTACTGTAACCATCCCCTTCAATAACAAGTGCTAGTACTTTCTATTATTGGTACCAGGCCATGTAATGACGTCTAGCCCCACAACCCTCCAAGGTAGTTATGCTTCTCCAAGTCTGGTTTCTTGTGCAATCCTGATTTTAATCCACTACTGGTGGCTATGCTTTACTTGCCTGGGTCATAAATTGTGGAATTTCTGCCCTACACTTCTCTACCTCTCTGCTTTTCTCTTTTAAGACACTCCGCAAAGTGTACCGGTTTGGTCAGTTAACCTATTATCTCCTTATGTAGCTTGCAGTCATACTTCATTTTGTAATGACCTTGTAAGTGTTCTTGATGTTTCATCACGTTAAAGGTATTACACAAGTTGTTTGATTGATTAAAAGTATCACGCAAGCAGCAGACTGACAATTGTAAACAGCACTGATGTAAATAAACAGGTTGTGCTAGCTGTCACTGCAGCTGCAAGGGGCACACTCAGCACCTAGGTCATTACAGTTCCTGTGACCTCACAGGCAGAGATGCCATTGAAGATTAAATATTAAGGCCTTTAATAACATTCAGTAATTTAAAGCTATTTTAACAACTGCAGAATCAATAAAATGTGTTCTTTTTCAAATGTTTCCGTAGTGTTTACAAAGGCTATCAGAGTGGTGAAGCAGCAAGCTGAGTGCCATAATGGATTGGGTACGCAGTGAGACAGTAAGCCAAGCACCGAGAGAGACAGTGAGCTGAGCAGGACACCAAGTGGCGCTGCAAGCACAACTCCAGATACCTATCTGTGAAGGATGTGCCGATTTCCTATTCTAGACGCACATCAATGGTGACAATATCACTAACTTCCAGTACAAAGTGGTGGGAGATATTTTGTAATATTTTTGACTTATGATGTGGAACTATCCTGTGTTTTTATGTATGTCTTTAAATATCATCACATTTTCCTGGGTGCTCTTGAGAATATTAATTATATGTTTTAAGCAACAGTCACTCTTGACATCTAGACAATGGGGCAACAAACTTTCCACAGGTGCTAACAAAAACCATAAATGGCTTGTGCGCTCTTGACAGGTTATATATTAATCATGAGGTCAGGACAACTCTCTCAATCCATCCAAAGACAGCGCCTCCAAACAATTTACTGCAACATACAGCAATGTCAAAGATCACATTTGATTTTGAAACATTCACTCAAAGGTAAGATGAATATCACAGAGCCAAATGGTATATTGGTACCAAAGCTTTAACTGAGCTTATTTAAAGTACTTAAAAAACACTCATTCATCAACAAATCAGAAAAGTCTCTCCCATTTACTGAAACAGAACACTGCAGATTTAATGAGGTTTAGATCTCCATACCTTACATTTGAAAACTTGTCATCACAAGACAGTACTGCTTTGGCTATGGTTTTATGTGGCACATCACGTTTCAACTGAAAATCATCTTCAAGTGTTTGAACAACATACTGCAGGAACAACAGTCGATCATTCCTGGTCACAGAATGCTTCCTGTGAGGATCCTTGAGGTGCACAAACATATAGGTAATATAAAATTAGATTACCATAGGAAAACAGCACAGTTCATTGACAGTAAAATGGCACAGTACAAAGCTTTCCACTGCTGTTTCATTAATTATTACGATGCTATCATGTTTAATAATCCAGTTTTGGTCAGCTCCTTTCCAGTAATCAGATATCTTAGGAGAGAGATGGTGGCATAGAGTAACATCACTGGAAAAGTAATCTAATGCTCTGGGAGACGTGACTTCCAATGGGAACTTCAGCTCAGTGAGTATACTTGCAATATAAAGCTAATCTCACAAATGGTAACCCTGAGAACTATCAATCAGCAAGTTGTAAGAACTCTAGTTCACATTAGGGAAGAAAGTCTGCATCCTTACCAGGTCTTGCCTACATATGACTTCAGACCTGCATCAATATGACTGATTTTTGACTGCCTTCTGAAACAGCCAAGCAATCCAGTAAGATCTAGGCTCATTAAGGATGGGCAATGAATGCTGGCCTTGTCGGTTACACCCACATCCCACAAAACAAGTAAAAAAACAGAAACAAATCACTCTTCACACTGGCAGCAATCTCTTCAATTCTCAGGGTACCAGCTCAACAATCAGCATAACAAATATACTACCTAAATTTGGGATAACTACAATCAGATGTATTTTCAGAAACATTCTAATGAACAAGTCAGGATTCCAATAAAGTGGACATAATGAATTTGTGCAAAATTCTTGTGGCCCACTGCTCAAATTATAAATTCTATTTTGGGGTTTGTGGTAGACATTTACTATACATATATGTTCAATGGTATTAATGCCCTCGAGGCTTCTGGGAGTGAAGATGACTAATGACCAGATCGAGGGCCATTTTGTAATTCATAGGGATATGTCATACGTATATTAATACTGGACTATGAAAGTAACTGGATTTGGAGAAAAACACAATAATTCTCCAGAAACACAACATGTTGAGGCCACAATTGTCGGATTTCCAGGTCAAACATGCCGAAAATATTCTGTTCAGAATTTCCATTTCTTGCATCAGTTTTAAAAGTGTTCAAACCAAATTAATTCTTATACTTTAACAGCCCAGAGTCAGATTTATACAGCTTCTACTATGTTTATAAGGAGAAATGACGGCTTATTTGTGAGGAAATCCTAATGATTAATTAATCCAATGTGGATTTTATCTTTTTACTTCAAAATTACACTTTCCATATGTTTACCTGTGGTCACTCACTCCCATCAGGAAGAAGTCAAAAATGACCCCTTTGTTGGATCAGTGTGAATGTTATGAATTATAATAAAATGAACTATGCCCACTAGATACTTTCAAGGTTTGTTTCCACAAGATGAATATCTGTCCCTCTTAAGACACCTCACCAAACCAGGTTAACAGGTTATTTATGATTATTAATAGATCTTTCCATACTAGGTCATCTCATTTGGGGCTTCAGCATTTCTACTACACATGCCACTATTTGGGCAATTTGTGAATGTTAAGTTTGAGTTTGCGCTTGATGGTTCTACGTTGCCTTGGGATGATATTATTCTTTAAGTACACAGTAACTCCTGCTGCCACTAACTGGACTGGAGCACATGACCATAGTAAATAGGAATAGGAGAAAGCCATTTGGCCCATCGAGCCTACTCCACCACTTAATAGGATCATGGTTAATCCAACATTATTCACATCCACTTGCCCACCCTTTCCACATAAACCTTGATTCCTCTATTGATCAAGAAGCACTCTAGTTACCACCACAACATGGTATTGTTGTATGCTCATTTCTCCTCTGCTCACCTCCTGAGGCTTTATCATCTCCTGCTCACTGCTCACATGCCCCCAAACCCTCTGCTCCTGTGTAACAGCATTTAAGTCATTAAAGTACGTTATATGCTCAACGTGTAGGAGGAATACTGCAATCAATCATACATTACTCCTCAGGACAGAAGTAATAAGTGTAAAAGAACTGAAGGATGCATAAAGAAACACAAATGAAAGAATTATATTTTCAACTATGGAAGTGTGTAACAAATAAGTAAATGATTTTGTATGACAATCCTAAAGGAATTGCTGAGCTCTCTTTTTTTCTAGCACCTCGAAAAGAAGCTTACAGTGATTGTCTTTACAAAAGATAGATTTCTGTTACCTTGCTCTCCACATGATAAGCTAACAGGTTCCAGTCCCACTGCACAGTAGAAATATTTGCGGGATGCAGCCTATTTAAATATAGTTAAATACTTATTAGTTTATTTTACAAGTCAGTCCACGTGTCAACAGGTAAAAACAACAACTCACAAATAACATAACACAGCAGTTAGCTCTGCAATAGCTTACAGAATTCAAAAATGGAATTTAACACATTTCTTCACACAAATATTGAAGAATGGACCAAACAGTGAAAACGGTTGAAAGAGACGGGCTTTTTGTCTAATGGTTTAATGGATGAATACATGGCTGGTGTATGCTGAAGTTAAGCCCTCATGCTTCTCTACATCCTGTTTTTTTAAGAGCCTCATCACCTCTGTAATCTCCACTAGCGCCATAATCATGGGAGATAATCACAATAATTTAATTCTGCTCTCTGGGACATCCCTGCTTTTAATTGATCAACCATTGCAGGCATATTTCACCTGCCTATAGTGTAAACTCCAGAAATGCCTTCCTGAACCTCTGTGCCCTTCTATTCTTCTTCCCCACCTTTAATATGCTCCTTAAAACCGACCGCTTTCATCTTATGTGGTTTGGTGTCAAATTTTACTTCGTAAGGTTCTTGTTATGTGCTGTGAGATGACTTGTTATGTTAAAGGTACTTTATGAATGCAAGTTGTTGTTAAAGTTTATATTGTTGACCATGTCATACAGTCATACAGCATGGATGACATACGCAATTGCCCATTCGGCTCAACTCGTCCATGCCAACCAGATATTCTAAGCTGATCTAGTCCCATTTGCCAGCATTTAGCCCACATCCCTCTAAACCCTTCCCATTCATGTACCCATCCAGATGCCCTTTAAATATCGTATTTGTACCTGCCTTCACTACCTCCTCCGGCAGCTCATGTGCCACCCTCTGTGTGAAAAAGTTGTCTCTCAGGTCCCTTTTAAATCTTTCCCCTCTCATCTTAAACTTATCCCCCTAGTTTTGGACTCCCCTACCCTTGGAAAAAGACCTTGGCAATTTACCCTGTCCAACCCCCTCATGATTTTATAAACCTCTATAGGGTCACCCCTCTGATGCTCCAGGGAAAATAGCCCCAGCCTATTCAGCCTCTCTCTATAGCTCAAACCCTTCAATCCTGGCAACATACCTATAAATCTTTTCTGAACTCTTTCAGGTTTAATAACATCTTTCCTGTAGTAGGTAGACCAGAATTGAATGCAGTATTCTAAAAGAGACCTCACCAATGTCATGTATAGCTCCAGCATGATGTCCAAACTCCTTTACTCAATGCACTGACCAATGAAGGCAAGCGTACCAAATGCCTTTCCACCACCCTGTCTACCTGTAACCCCACTTTCAAAGAACTATGGACCTGCACTCCAGGTCTCTTTGTTCAGCAACATTCCCTCGGGTCCTACCATTAACTGTATAAGTCCTGCCCTGGTTTTCCTTCCCAAAATGCAACACCTCACATTTATCTGAATTAAACTCCATCTGTCGCTCCTCAGCCCAGCTGATCAAGGCCCCATTGTACTCTCAGATAGCCTTCTTCACTGTCCACTGCACCACCAATTTTGGTATCATCTGCAAACTTACCAACCATACCTGCTATATGCACATCCAAATCATTTACATAAATGGTGAAAAGCAGTGGACCCAGCACCGATCCTTGTGGCACACCACTGGTCACAGGCCTCCAGTCTGAAAAGTGACACCACCAGTACCCTCTGTCTTCTACCTTCCAGCTAATTTTATATCCAGTTGGCTAGCTCCCCCCGGATTCCATGTGATGTAACTTTGCTAACCAGTCTACCATGCGGAACCTTGTCCAAAGCCTTGCTAAAGTCCGTACAGACAACGTCAACCGCACTGCCTTCTTTTTCACCTCTTCAAAAAACTTAATCAAGTTAGTGATCACGATTTCCCATGCACAAAACCATGGTGACTATCCCTAATTAGACCCTGCCTTTTCAAATGCACGTAAATCCTGTCCCTCAGAACCCCCTCCAACAACTTAGCCACCACTGACATCACGCTCACCATTCTATAGTTTCCTAGCTTTTCCTTACCACCTTTCTTAAATAGTGGCACCACATTAACCACCCTCCAGCTTTCCAACACATCACCCGTGGCCATTGATGGTACAAATATCTCAGCAAGGGACCCAGCAATCTCCTCCCTAGCTTCTCACAAAGTTCTGGCATACACCTGATCAGGTCCTGGGGATTTATCTACCTTTATGCATATTAAGAAATCTAGCACCTCCTCTTCTGTAATATGGACACTTTTCAAGACAACACTATTTATTTGCTCAAGTTCCCTAGCTTCCATGTCCTTTTCCACAGTAAATACTGACGTGAAATATTTGTTTACAATCTCTCCCATCTCCTGTGGTTCCACACATGGACAATCTCGTTCCTTAAAACTGCTTAAGTAAAAACACAACGCTGGAGAAACTCAACAGATCTGGCAGCATTTATGGAATTAGAAATAAAATTAATGTTTCAAGTATGTTATGGTTCAACGCAGAACTAATGCAAAAAAGTATTGTTGAACCACACAGAAAAGATTCAACTTAGTTTGAATCTCTGGTCAGTGTTGAGTTAGTTGACTGCAGACATAGAGGCAGCAGTTGAGGTGCAATGCTCACAGGATTGTTCTCACTGATTAGCAAATGAGAACAAGCTAAGAAGTATGCATTTATGGACTTTTGAGTAAAACAGATTTGGGATCAACTGTGATGTGCCAGACAGAAAACCAGAAGAACAGGCAACCCAGCAGCTCAGTGGTTAGCACTACTGCCTCACAGCGCCAGGGACCTGGGGCTCGAATCCACCCTTGGGGCAATTGTCTGTGTGGAGTCTGCACGTTCTCCCTATGTCTGCGTGGGTTTTTGCCAGGTGCCAGTTTCCTCCCACAGTCCAAAGATGTGCAAGTTAGGTGGATTGGCCATACTAAATTGCCCATAGTGTTCAGGGATGTATAAGTTAGGTGTGTTAGCCATGGGAAATGCAGTGTTACAGGGAAAGGATAGAGAGATGGGTTTGGGTGAAATGCTCTTCGGAGGGTCGGTGTGGACTTGTTGGGCTGAATGGCCTGTTTCCACACTGTAGGCGTTCTATGGAACTAACAAGAAACAGATATTGGGTGATAAACCAAAAGGTTCTCAGTAACTCTGGAAGCAAAACATCAACTGGTGCGTTTAGGATAACAGGGGAAAAACTGGAAGACAGAAAATTTGATCTGTATATATTAAGTTAATATCAGAAAGCTATCAATGAATCATTCAAGAACATGGAACACTGGCAAATGGAGATCAGTCTAGAGAAGGATGGATATTGTATATGGAGAAGGCCATCAACATATGGGAATGCGCAACATTTGTAGAGACGGCTTGTACAACAGACAGCCTATGGGCTATAATGTGGCCTGCAAAAGGGTGCTTGTCAAGCTGTTATTCTCAATATAGCTAAGTGCAAATTTTTGCAAGGGGGTTGCACCTCCAATCAGAGTCTGCTTCATGACTCAGCCTATCAGCAGCAAAGATAGGAGAGCCTCTGACTGGAAGAGCACAGCAACATGAGTGGTTTCACTCAGCCCAAGGCCTAGAACTTTGGGTTGGAGTCAGCAGGATGGGGATTGGGAAAGTTTCAGGGAGATACTAGCTGGGGAGGAAGGAAATGAGTATCTGGCCACTGGTGGGAGTGGTGGCGAGGGCGAATGAAATGTTCAGACTGTGTGAAGGTAATTCACATAAAATTCTACATGTTTTAATTGACAAGTAGTACAAAATCCCAACAATGGGAATGCTTACTGCTCATCCACACTAATTTGACATACAACAGCCTTATAACTCAGAAGTACAATTTGACTTTTGAAACACTTTTTGACCGCTGAACTCAGAACACCGTAATAAAAAGGACCTTGTTAATTTGTTTAACACATTTCAGTTATGTGAGTGAAGATGAACTGAGGACATGTGAAGAGGTACTCCAGCAAAGCAGCAAGGTGATTTGTGTTTTAAAGTTCAGGATGTGGGGGGAGCTGAGCTGACAGATATTCATGTTAGAATGCAGTTATTCCATCATAGTAGCAGTCCCATGTGTAACAGCCTTAGCTAAAAGGTTTTCTTAATACATGAAGTTACCTTCAAGGAATAAGTCTGGTAAAAGTATGCCAACTCTGATTCATTCCTCACTTGCATGGACCAACACACTCAATTTGTAACCACTACTCAGTCTGACCAATTAAAAGGAACTCAGCCAACAAGAAACCTCCAGAAAACACTGGTCAAAGTACTTCATAGCACTAACATCTATTATAGGGACACAACTTTGTGATTTTTCGATGGATTAGTGTGGCTATTATTAGATGTAGCAAAGTTGCTGTAAAAACGGTATCTATTCTGACAACTGAATCAGAATGAATAATATAACTTTAACTAGGCTATTGACGTGCCTAAAGAGTGGAACTTTCTGAAAACAGTCAACAGTCAATATTAAACAGATCTGTTACACTATGCTATGTTTTGTGTCTCTTGCATTAATGTGTACATACTGTTGGATTTTCATCAGGGTCATGTAAGCAGACATAATGGTGCTGGAGGATTCATTGCCCAACAGTATCTTCTTGATTATATACTTCACAATTTTATGAGGTGGGTAGTGTTGAGGAGATACAAAATCCATCAGAAATTGAAGAGTCCCTTGAGGAAAGTTTTCATCAATGGTACTGTTTATCATACTGCACTGTCTTTGGGAGATCAGCTCTGGTTCCTTGGACTTATGTTGGTGAGTTGTTGATGAACGAGAGTGTTGGTTTACCTGCAGCAAAGAAAAAGATAAATAATAATACAAGATGACAAAGACAAAAAGTGCTGGAAACACTCAGCAGATCAGGCAGCAACTGTGGAGAGAAACAGATAACATTTCAGGTCTGTGACCTTTAATCATAACTGAAGGAAGATAGAAATGTAAATGTATTTAAGGAAGTAGAAAAGGGGAGGTCAAAAAGGAAAGTTGTGATAGGGTAGAGGGCAGGAGAAATTGACTGATAAAAGATTTCATGATGCAAAAACCAAAGCAAGTGGTCATCGGAATAGTAAAGGGCCAAAGATGATGTCCAGGTGAGATGTGAATGACTATATGGCATTCAACTCAATGCAACATAAAGGGTCAGAGAGAAACAAGCCAGTAAAAAGCACAAGAATGACAGATATTAAAATCTAAATTTGTTGAACGCAATGTTGAGACAGAAGTTTGGGGAGTGCTGAGTCAAAAGGCAAGGAGCTGTTCCTCCAAATTGTACTGAGCTTCACTGCAGCAGCCAATGGATAGAATGATCAGCATGAAACAAGGTGGAGAATCAAAATGACAAGGAACAAGAATGTAGGGTCATACTTGGGAAATTGAACAAAAAGTGGTCACCTAGTCAGAGTTTGCTCTTCCCAATGTATAAGTGACCATGCTGTGAACAGCAAATATTTTGTGCTAATTAGAAAAAAGTACAAGTAAATTGCTGCTTCAATTAGGAGGAGTATTTGGACTTTGGTTGATGAGAAGGAAGGAGGTGAAAGTATAGGTGTTGCATTTCCTACTCGTGTACAGACAGATATCTGAATAGAAATATACTACAGGGAAGGAAGAAGTGTTGGGGGTGGTTGAATGGAGCTGTTGGTAGTGGAGGGTGCAATCCTTTTGGAATACTGTAAAGGGAGGGGGGTGGGGAGGGAGGTACGTTTGGGGGAGGCATCATTGTGGAGTGGGTTCTGGGGTGGGAGGATAAATGGATCACGTTATATTTACCCTAGTCTCTGGGAAGATTGGGAGCTGGAAGTGGTGCCAGACAGGATGTGGTTCAGAGTTCAAGGCAGATTTCTAAGACAAGCACTTAATTGGATCCACACTTGTTCAGGAAATGGAGGGCAGGGTGGAACTTAATTCAGTTAACCATGGGCTCACCCACTGGCTGGACAGCCAGCAAGAGCCAGTGTCATGTGTGTTGGGGATGGCCTGTCAAATCAGGCACTGAAGTGGCCAGTTTTGGGTCTTCCTCTGGGGAGCAAATCTCAACCCACCCCATGGGACTCCACAAGCAAACTTGACAGGGGCTTGGTTTTCAAGCTTCCCATAGGATGACTCCATTGCTCTCCACTGGTTGAATAGGGGTGAGGGTCTTACGTGAGTTTTAGTTGTCTGCCATAACACCTCAAATAGAGTCCAGGTAATTGACCATTTGCAAGCCTTCCTGCCACGATTTTAATCAGATGCAAAGGGATGGCAGTATCTCCACCCAGCAACTTACCATCCAATTAAATACCACCAAACTCACTGCTGGGGGAGTCATTAAATTTAACCTTAGCTGCTTTGAAGTCGAGTATAAAGAGCCTGCCAATTTGCCAATGCCTCTGTTGTGCTGTCAATCAAAATAAATTGTTATGTATATGTTTTATCAGTTTGACTGTACGATTCCATCTATGTCATTTGAGTGCATTCAATCCCCCTATTTATGTATTCAGAACAATGATGCACCTTACATGAATGATCACAGTCAATAACGCAGATGCAAGATATTGAAACTTCATCTGTTACAATTTTCTACTGCATTCTACTGTTTGCTCAGCTATTCAGTTGAGCTGTTCAGATTTTGTTTTTCATTGCAAATATTTCTTCAGTAAGCTATGATGTTCCTTCTATTCCAGTTGTACATTTATGGGAGTGCAAGAAGGGGAAAGTATGTTTTTCTGCCTGAGTAATTCGGAAGCTAATGTTAATGAATTAAACCTTCCAAAATATTTCAATATACAAAGCAAACTTACATGATCAGAGGATGCAGTTCAGACCTTTGTTGTATATTACTGTTAAACAACCTATCCTCTATGAATTTCACTTCCCAACAAAAACAGACAAAAGAACCAGTTTTTGTTTGAAAAACAGCAAGGTGTGATAGGGAATGTACTGCCTGAAGGGGTGGTGCAAGCAGATTCAATAGTAACTTTAAAAGGGATTGGAGAAAACTTGAAAGTGAGACGTTTTCAGGGCAATTGGGAAAAAACATGAGGGTAGGACAACACAAGTCCGATGAGGTGAATAACCTGCTACCGTGTTCTGCGATACCATTAGCTGTAGAGCTATTGTTGTCACAAGACTTAATGTAAAGTTATGGGAGAAAAGCATTTACTCCGAAGTTTCATGAAGAGGTAGAATTAATCAGCAGCACTTACATCTGAGCAGCTTGTGTGATGAAACTGCAGATTCACTACAAAAGGAGCACAAGAGGCTAACTTAAATCTGTACTGCAGTCTGAAGCATCAGTTTTGTATTCTGCATTGATGAATTCCCATCTCTTTGGGATTAAATATTTCAAGATCTTACCTTGTGCCATTTTTCATTTCTAGGTCGCTTAACAAACACATGTTGAACTGGTGCTCCAATGAGGTATTGAAAACTTTGCAATGTCTCTTTATCCACTGAACAATTAGGGCTTGCTTCCTTTGATGTAAGCACATGGTCCTCAGTTTCCTCTGATGGCAAATTCCGATCTTCAGACTGATCTAATACCGGTACAGGAACATGTGCTTTGTTTTTAACTAGAGAACAGTTTAATTCACTGTCACCTCTCTTATTGTGACCCTGCAGCTGCCCCCAAGGTTCTAGCAATGGCATGTTTACACTGGGAGGAGACTGATCACAACCATGTTCCAGTTCAAACTTCTTAGTGTTCTGAGGTATTAATGATGGTATATCTTCAATATCTGGACTTAAGCCAGCTTTATTTATATAATTAATTGTTTCCTCAAAGGTGCTTTTATAAGGATCTCCAAAAGGATCCCCAGCACTATCTGGTGAGGAAAATGGAATGAGTGTATCTGGTGAAAATGTTTCCAGAGATTCCAAATCACTATTTATACTGGTGTTACTAGTAGACTCTGCATTGCTGACAGGATCGTGAGCTTTTTGATTTGATGTAGTGAGCAAGTCCACTTTTTCTGCAGTGACATGAGAATCTTGATTTTCATCAAGATCGATGAAGTCCAGTTCAGGTAATGGGTCTTCTTTGATACATTTAGTGGAAACATTTGCAAGAAAATTGGCCTCGGTTGTGACTTCAACTGTCAAAACAGGTGGAGCTTCAAGGTCAGGTTCATCTTTGCCTATTGTCCAACCAGATTGTAAGCCAGGAAACCAACATCCCCCATTAAACTTTGGTAGATCTTCATCAGAATCGAGTTTGTCACTACTCAGGTTATTGGAAAAATGAACAGATGAGCTTGTTTCTGCCTGGGAACAGTTAGTTGAACCGACCTGCATACTTCCCATGCCTTCTTCAGCACTATTCACTTGATAGTGCATTTCATTGTCATCTCCTGTCAAATCAATATTGTCCTGAAAAATAGTGAAATGTCGAAGAATTTTACTTTATGTTGAAGAAGCATTTTTGCAAGATAAAAAAGTGCTGGAAATACTCAACAGATCAGGCTGCTTCTGTGGAATGAGAAACAGAGTTAACTTTCATCACTTCCAGGTCATCAATAACCTGAAAGGTTAACTCTGTTTTTCCCTCTCTCTGCAGAATCTGATGAGTATTTTCTGATTTTATTTCCAATTTCCAGCAGAGATTGGTTACAACATAAAAGTAGGCCCATCGTATCCACACAAGCTCTGTGTCTCCCTCCTTCCCAACATTTTCCCACAGCCCTATAATAATTTTCCCTTTGAACAACTGCGGTATCTAGCTATTGTGTTACCTCTTTTTCAGGGCTATGTTCAATCTATACCTGCATGCAAGTTGGATGATCGTTATGCTGTAAAAAAGAGCAAGAATTCCTTGAATTCATTACGTGGTGTTATTAGTCAGTACCAATTAGATGAAAACACAATCATTTGCTCCACTGCCAGGTTTCCTGGATTGTGAGGACATAAACCATTTTCCCTGCAGCTGTTTTGAATTCAGGCTACAGAATCTGGGAACTAATTCCATGAATTAGCATCATGGATTGCAATTTAACAGACTGATATTATAAATGAGGAAGATTAGAAAGAAGCAAAGAGAGGAAATGAAAAGATTTCCTGTAATGTTTTTACTGCTGATGGGTGATCCAGTATATCACCAAACCCACTGGGGAAATAGTAAATTCAAATTCAACTTAGTCCACCAGGCTGGAATGGGGCAAGTGGGGTCTAAATTAAAAGGTCAAAAGATCCATCCCTGTGAGAAACAAGTCCACAATGACAAATCTGAAGGCGATGATTGATAGCAAAGCATAGAGTAAACATCACCTAGCTCAGATTATACCAGAAAATATTTTTTGGAAACCTGGAAGAAAACAGTTATCTAGGGTTGTGAGACCAAACCATGACATGCTAACAGCATACAAGGGAAAGTGAGATTCGACAGCAAGGAACAACCCAAATCAGAGGGGCACAGAAAAGAAAAGATGTTGACTGAACGTTCTATGTCACTTTAACATCCTGCTAAACTGAGATTGAGCATGTGAGGAGTGCAGATCATTTCAGCAAACTATAAGTTAATTAAGGCTGCCCTGAGGCTCGAAGACAATATACCTAATGAGAAGTGCTCTCCTATCAGATGTAAAGATCTCGTGCAAAAGTACATAGTGTTTCAATGAAATGTTTGGATGCATTGAAGATTTTGAGTATCGTATCATCGCTGATCTAGCAATGAAAGCAGTGATTCATCCTCTTAAAAAGAGCCAACAGAACTAAAATAAAAGCTCGCAAAAGAGTTCCAAGAGATGGAAGAAAAAGTGATTGCCAGATCACAGACCTTACAGATTGAGTAAACTTCATCCTGGTGAAAGAGAAACTCTTCAGAATGGTATGCCCTGGATGGAAAGAAGCTAAATCCTAGAAGAATCATGGCTATCTCTGGGATGGAAGCCACAAATACAGTAAGAGATAAGAAAACATTGAGGGGTTTCCTGGGCTTGATCCAATAAGTGAGCTTCTTCATACCACATATGGCAGAATCGGCAGGCACTGATGAAAGAAGCCACAGGGAACCAGTGGTCAGAATCAGCTGACTGGAGTTTCAACAAACTCAAAATATTAATATGCAAGGGCAGAAATCTGTCATACTACAATGTAAAGACACCTATCACTTTGCGAGTAGTTGCTTCTACAAAAGGAAGGAAGCAGTCCTGCTGCAACAAGGAAGTCAATGGCATTCGCATCCAAACTGTGACTATCTGCTGAGAACAGATACGGCAAAATATAAAGAGAGCTTTTGGCAGTCAAGTGGACAGTGGAGGTAAGACGTTCCATACATATACCTATGTGACAAAGTTCACCATGGGGAGTGATCATTGCCCACTGGAGCAGATGTACAAGAAGAATCTGGGTAAAACACCAGCAAGACTACTGGAGTTATTCTTGAGTCCTCAGAGTTACAACTTCACCTTGAAATGCAAGCCAGGATGAGAAATTATACAAAATAAAACAAAGAACTGCAGACACTGGAGATCTGAAACATATAAAAATGGAAATTGCTGAAAAAACTCAGCAGGACTGGCAGTGTCGGTAGAGAAAACAGAATTAACGTTTAGAGTCCAGTGACCCTTCTTCAGAACTCAATTAGAGTCACCTCAGAGAAATTATGTTGTTAGATACGCTGTCTCTTTTGTCACTATAAGTCCCTAAAGAGGAGGTCAGCATTTGAACAAGAACTCCTTTCTTCTGGCTTTGTGTGTTTACTTCATTGTGGAATTCACTAGTTCAGGAAGGTAGCTCACCACCACGTTCTCAAGGGCAACTACAGATAGGCAATAAAAGTTGGCCCAGCCAGTAACACTCACATCCCGCAAACGAATAAAAAACAGCTAAATCCCTACCTGAGGTATTGAAAGGCAAACTGTAAATGTACAGATTGCAATCATGAAAAACCCAGCAAAAGTTGTTGTTGAAGCTGAGGTAAGGTAAGTGAGACTAAAGCTAGTTAGCAAGTGAGAAGTAATAGAATCCATAACCAACCTACAGATGAGCTGGAAAAATAGAACAGATTATGAACAACACCAGAAACATCACTATGTGGTGAAACAACACTGTCAATCGAAAGCATGACTCCTGCAACACCAGCAGCTGAATGCCAACTCACCACAAACAACAAATGCCCAGTCTACAAGATGGCGGAATGATGCAACCTAAATGATACAGTGAATGATACTTCTAGGTAGGGTCACTACAGTGATTGTAACTAGATCTGCCAGGTGGACCTCACAGAAAATGAGTTCCCTGATTAGGGCTGTTACTCTGGTCCAATCAGGGATGCCTGGCCAACAGATGTAAACAGGAGCATCAGACGTTCTGCTCACTGAGAGCTGGCTCTGAGAGAGCTGGATCAGTGTCAAGGACTCTCCATGCATAAGTAAAAGGATACCAGCCTCTGTGGAGTTATTTAGGTGACAATTGAGAGAAAAGCCTGTTCTTGAAGAAATTCACTCGCACCAGACAGTTTTGAGTTGGGGTAAGCATTTCTGGTATCATGCCGTTATTTGGGGAGTTTGACTCGTTTGATCCGTGTGTCGAAGACATGGCCCAGTATGTGGAAAGAATGTGTTTTTTTTTCCGGACAAATGATATTGGGGCAGATGAAAAGCAATAGTAATTGTCCAGACAGCTTGTGGGTCTGCAGCTTTTTCAATTATTAGGAGCCTAACTTTCCCTGAGGCAACAGATACTAAAACCTTTCAACAGTTGAAGGATTTAGTTAAGGTACATTACAACCACAAGCTTCCTCTGCTATTTACTTGGCAATTTGAGAACCAAGGGAATCCGTATCTGGATTTTTGACTAGGTTATGATGATTGGCATACACATGTAACTTTGGTTTAACCCTTAATGAGATGCTGAGAGACTGTTTGGTATGTAGGATTACTGATGGAACCATGCAAAAGCATCTACAAGCTGAAGCCCAACTGGACTTCAAACAGGCACTACAACTGGCTTTATCATTGGAAAATGCCGCAAATGGAGCATATGAGTGGCAGGGTATTCAATGAATATTGACACCCTCGCCAGTCCGACTGAGCTTGGGAAACACAATTCAGTGAAGGCAATTGCGTAGCCCCACTTAGGACATATCCTGAACAGAAGAACTCTAGATTAGCCCACAACAAAAATTCAAAACAAGGCCAAGCCTTGGCCAAACGGTTAAAATTATTTTCAGGATCAGGCTGGCAAGCCATTGTAGTTGCTGCCGGTATGCAGTCTCGAGACAGCAACCAAGGCCCCCTTGACCTAAATGGAGTAAGAGAACTCATTGGCCGGTATCCACTTTGGAAAGTCCACCTACATCTAGGTTGGAACAGTTAAATTGCTTAATAACATCCAAATCAGAACCAAACAAAATAAATGTCTGGTTAAATGGTCACCCGGTCCTGAACTTAAAGAACAAAAACAAAGTTGCTGGAAAAGCTCAGCAGGTCTGGCAGCATCTGTGAAGGAGAAAACAGAGTTAACGTTTTTGAGGAAGGGTCACTGGACCTGAAACATTAACTCTGTTTTCTCCTTCACAGATGCTGCCAGGCCTGCTGAGCTTTTCCAGCAACTTTGTTTTTGTTCCTGATTTACAGCTTCCGCAGTTCTTTTGGTTTTTATTTAGTCTGAACTTAAAAGAAAGCTAACTTTGATGGTATGAGGCATGCATTGGCTAGGATAAGCTGGCCAGGGATACTTAAGGGGTTGATGGTGGATAGGCAATGGAAGACATTTAAAGAACACATGGAAGAACTTCAACAATTGTACATCCCTGGCTGGCATAGGAGTAAAACAGGGAAAGTGCCTCAACCATGGCTAACAAGGAGCATCAGGAACAGTGTTAAAGCCAAACAGGAGGCTATAAATTGGCCAGAAAAAGCAGCAAATCCAAGGACTGCGAGAAATTTAAAATTCAGCAGAGGACGATAAAGGATTTAATTCAGAAAAGGAAAATAGAATATGAAAGTAAGCTTGTGGAAAACACAAAAACTGACTGCAAAAGCTTCTATAGCTATGTGAAGAGAAAAAGATTGGTGAATTAGAATTAGGTGAATTCATAATGGACAACAAAAAATGGCTGACCAGCTGAACAAATACTTTGGATGTCTTCACTAAGGAGGACACAAATAATCTTCAGGAAATGCTAGGGGATAGAGGATCAGGCATCAAGGAGGAACTGAAGGAAATCGTTATTAGTAAGAAAATGGTATTGGTGAAATTGATGGGATTAAAACCCAATAGTTTTGCAGGGCCTGATGCTATGCATCCCAGAGTACTTAAGGAAGTGGCCCTAGAAATAGCAGATGCATTGATGATCATTTTCCAGCATTCTGGAGACTCTGGAAGAGTTCCAATTGATCGGACTCCACTCTTTAAAAAAGGAGGAAGAGAGAAAATGGGGAGTTATATGCCGGTTAGCCTGACATCGGTGGTGGGAAAAATGCTGGTGTCAATCATTAAGGTTGTTATAACTGAGCATTTGGTAACAGAATCGGTCATAGTCAGCATGGATTCACGAAAGGGAAATCATGCTTGACAAATCTTCTGGAATTTTTTGAGGATGTGACCAGTAGTGTAGACAATGGTGAATCAGTACATGTTGTGTATCTGGACTTTCAAAAGGCTTTTGACAAGGTTCTACTCAAGAGATTAGTAAGGACAATTAAAACTCAGAGGTAATGTATTGACAGGAAGCAGACAGTTCGAATAAACGGGTCTTTTCAGAGTGGCAGGCAGTGATGAGTGGGGTGCCGCAAGATTCAGCGTTGGGACCTCAGCTGTTCACAATATGTATTAACAATTTGGACAAAGGAATTGAATGCCATATCTCCAAATTTGCAGATGACAGTAAGCATGGTGGCAGTGTGTACTGGGAGGAGGATGCTAAGAGGCTGCAGGGTGACTTGGACAGACTGGCTAAGTGGGCAAATACTTGGCAAATGCAATATAGTGTGGATAAATGTGAGGTTATCCACTTTGCTCACAAAAACAGGAAGGCATATTACTATCTGAATAGTGGCAGTTTAGGAAAAGGTGAGGTGCAATGAGATCTGGGTGTCATGGTGGAACAATCGCTGAAGGTTGGCGTGCAGGTGCAGCAGGCAGTGAGGAAAGCTAATGGCATGCTGGCCTTCATAGCGAGAGGATTTGAGTATCGGAGTAAAGATGTCTTACTGCAATTATTAAGGGCCTTGGTGATGTCACATCTTGAGTATTGTGTACAGTTTTGGTCTCCTAGTCTGAGGAAGGACATTCTTGCAATTGAGGGAGTCCAGCGAGGGTTCACCAGACTGATTCCAGGGATGGCAGGACTGACATGAGGAAAGATTAGATCGACTGGGCTTGTATTCATTAGAATTTAGAAGAATGACAGGGGATCTCACAGAAACATATAAAATCCTCATGAGACTGGACGGGCTAGATGTGAGAAGAATGTTACTAATATTGGGGAAGTCTAGAACAAGAGGTCACAGTCCAAGAATAAGGGGTAAGCCATTCAGGACTGAGATGAGGAAGAATTTCTTAATTTAGAGAGTTGTGAACCTATGGAATTGTCTACCACAGGAAACTGTTGGGACTAGTTCATTAGATATATTCAAGAGGGAGCTGGACGTGGCCCTTGGGGCTAAAGGCATTAATGGGTATGGGGAGAGAGCGGGAATGGGATGCTGAGATTGCACGATCAACTCTGGTCTACTCCTGTACCTACTTTCTATCTTTCTAATAGCCATGGTCGATATGAGGTCAGGTCTAGTGACATATAAAGTTTGGAAAGGTGTAACAGTCCTGAACAAGCATGTGGGCCAAATGAAAGCTCAAATGGTGCAGGAGCCCGGCTCTTTAACAGCCTTTCTGACCGTTCTAGAACCCGTGGGTTCTTCCTCTCCATCAAGCATGGAAGATACCTCGGAATCTGAGATGGACATGGCGGATGTCACCATCTTGATGCCTTTGCTGCCTGAAGAAGAGAACGAATTTTTTCCGAGACGCTCTGGGTGCAAGAGGCGAGTTACTGTGTGTTACACACTGCCTGAATCAGAGGCAGAGTTGGAGGCATCTGACCGGGTGCTAAAAAGCCCTAGGAGAAGTGTCAAAGGAAAAAGGCGCAGTCTACGCTCTCGGACTCAGAGAGGGAGGGATGTGATGATTGTAACGAAGTCAGCAGGTGGACCTTAATGAGTTCCCTGATTCGGGCTGTTAATCAGGTCCAATCAGGGAGCCCTGTCTGTCAGATAAAAACAAGCGTGGCAGTGGCTGTGCTTGCTCTGAGAGCTGAATTAGTATTAGGGACTTTATGTCTGCAATTAAGGTGTGACTTGGTGACAGGATACTGCCCTCTGTGGAGTTGCTGCAGTTAAATGCTATAAAATACGCAGAAAAGGGATTCAGTTCCATAGAAGAAATCTTTATTTATTTTCTACACTAATGACTGGAACTGTTGTGGCAATGGAGGAATTGTGATTTAAAGAAAGAGGGAATATTATATATGTCTTCAGAGCTAAGAAGTGATAAGCTAGTAAGATGTATAAGACACGAGCCTAAGCTGTTTTCTGCTCATGAACCATAGTGGTGGTATTAAAGAGCTCTAAGATTTCCCAATGTTATCATTTCAACCCACAGGAACGAATCTTTATGGCGTCATACAGGGGACAACTGCCAGGATCAAAGATGGTGGCGAAGCCCCATCTCGTTGTAATGGTCGTGCGCACTCAGCGAATTCCTGTTTATAATCAAAGCACCGTGCGCTGTAAATGCTGCCCGCACTCACCCGGTGAGAGAACAGGATCCGTTTGATCCGCTGATAGCGAGCCCAGGACGAGCAGGAGTGCTGGTAGTGAAGGCTCGTTGGTGCTGCCGTCTCTCCGATAAACTCAACGTCCGAGTCTGACTCATCTTCCGAGGTGATCTCGATCACGTCAGCCATGGCTCCGCTTCCCTGACGTTGAGAGATCCCTAGCGGGGCTCGGTTAAGGCTCCGGTTGTCCGGTTCGTCCGCGACCGTCTGAAGGGAAGGGAATCGGCAGCGCAGCCATAAGCTACCCAGGTACCGGCCGCCATCTTTGGCACGGGCACAAGCGCGGGGTGATGGCCACTCTGTGCTGCCCCCTGCTGCAGCAGGCGTTATGGTGTACCTCAGTGAAGAGGGCTCCCAGTCCCTCCTGCTCACGATCAACTCCAGACCACAATCAGTTAAAGAGTTAACAAGGTGTAGAGCTGGATGAACACAGCAGGCCGAGCAGGAAGGCTGACGTTTCGGGCCTATACCCTTCATCAGAATTGGGGGAGGGGGTTCTGAAATAAATAGGGAGAGAGTGGGAGGCGGATAGAAGATGCATAGAGGAGAGGAAACAAACAGGTCGAAGAGGCGGGGATGGGGCCAGTAAAGGTGAGTGTAGGTAGGGAGTTAGGAAGGGGATAGGTCAGTCCAGGGAGGACGGACAGGTCAAGGGGGCGGGATGAGGTTGGTCGGTAGGAGATGGGGGTGCGGCTTGAGGTGGGAGGACGAACAGGTTAGGGAGGCGGGGACGAGCTGGGCTGGTTTTGGGATGCGGT